AACCGCCGGCTTCTTCCGCTACACCATGAGCCGCCGCTACGCCGCCAGCCAGCAGCAGGCGCTGCTGCAGCAGGCGCTGGCCAAGGGGGAGGCGCAGCAGGCCGGGAAGAAGAAAGGGATCGCCGGCTTGCTGGGCGTCAGCGGCGCACAGGTGCGGGGCGGCTTGGCAGCTCGGAAACAGCTCTGGGCGCTCTGATGATTTTACAGGGCGGTTCTTGGGGTTTAGGTTCGCCACAAGGCCATCCATCGCCCATGTTCCGAGAGAACTGTGGCGCACCCAGCCTCGCGCCACAATCCGACATGGTCCCCCGTCCCGCCGCCTCACCCCGCCGTGCCCGCCTCGCGACGGCTGCAGGGGCCGCCAACGCCGACGCCGCCGCAGCAGCAGCAGCAGCCAGGCGCGCCGGGCGCGGTGGTGCCCACGGGCCGGCCCAGCGGCGGGGGCGGCATCAACCTGTCCAGCCTGGCCGACCCCGCGGACTACTTGGCCGGGCATCTGGACAAACAAGTCAACGAGGACAGCGCCAGGGGCAGCTTGCCGGTGCAGGTGGGGGCGGTGAGGAGGGGAAGTTGTGACCCCTGGGGCCTGCTGCGCGGGGCCCGCAGGGCCGGCTGCCTTGCGGGCGGCGGCAGCGGCGGCTGCGTGGTGGCGCTGCGGCTGGTGGGGACGGGGGCGTTTTGGGCGGACAGACGGGGCGCGTAGGAGGGTGTGGTGGTTGCTTGTCGCTTCGTCGGTGCCGACTCGCTCAACGTCGCAATCAACCGCCTTTCTGACGGCGTCTCAACGAATTGAAGGGTCTGAGGTGTGACTGCAGTGGCGCTTTGGTTGGTTGTGTGCCGAGAGAGGCAGCCTTGCGACCTCATCCACGCGCGCGTCGCAAACGCACACCTCCACGCCGTTAACCCACCTCCCCTCCCACACAGGGCTGGCGCTGGCAGAAGCGCTTCTTCATCGTCAGCGACTCTCAGCGCGCCCTCTTCTACTTCAAGAGTGAGCCCAGCACACCCACACCACCACACCAGCTCTCCACTCCCCAGCCCCAACGCGCTCCCTCCCCC